GGGGGGGGGGGGGCACGGGGAGACGTATGCAAGGTGGGGTATTCGAGCGGTTGACACTTGTCATTTGTCACTAACATGAGCTTTTTTTTTAATTGTGCTTTTGAAAAGAGTGCAACACGATGAGTTCCTAGGATCACTCAAACTAATACTATTCTTGACGAAGCTCGCTTCACTAACATTAGTTACTCTCCTTTTTGGATGAGTAAAAAATTAATTTCTATTGATCAAAGTAAATACAGGTGTCCAGGAAAGGGAGTAGCTCTTCCAGAAAAAAAAGGGGCACGCCTACTGTGTGTATGCATTAACAATAAAAAAACATCAACAAAAATAAGAGCAGGAGCAAAAGGATCTAAGAACATAGAGTTCAGAGGGAGTTGAAGGCCTTGAGCCAGAACTTCTAACTAAATCCTTCTCCATAACAGGCTGTATAAACAACTGGTGTCAGTCACTCCAGACTGGAGTTAGGCAAATTCCATGACTGCAGAAGTTGTTGATTCAAGTGATACAACTCGAATTTTACTGAGGCAATTCAATCCCTTAGTATGAGGACAATGTTCTGCAGCAAAGATATCTGCTGTTAGTGGGTAAATGCTGAAACATTTGTTTACGGAGGCATTAAACTTTTATCAGAAAATGCGTACAACTTGTACAATGTAAACAAGAACAGAAACTACATATATGCTTTAATAGTTAATATTAATAAGTCAATGAAACCATAAAACAATATATTAATCATGATAGAGCAACAATTAGCATCAGTAGTTATATGATTCCATACGCCATTAAAATGCTTGATTTTGACTCAGCTAATGTAGGTGAGATGTGAATGAGATAAAGACATGAAGATTCCCTGTTGCTGTTTCTGGCCATCCTCTTCAACGGTTAATGGATTATATTGTGCCTAACAACTTCAGGAATATATATTATATAGATACTCCGACGCTGAGATATTTTGGAGGCCTGTCTCCATAATTCTAGCCTTGTTTCAGATTTTTTGGGAGCTTGATTGCATTTGTTCTTGCAATGACATTCATATGTGTATGCTAAATTGAGTGACGCATATTAAATTATTATTAATTCCTTAATTTCTTGGTTTGTCAAATTTTCGTTTCTTTTTTGAGATGGTCTGAATACTAATGCCCACATGAGAATTCTCGATGAATTATTCCTCAGTCTCTTTTTTTTGCCCTGTTGACACACACTATAGCTTGAAAGCTCAATGTTTGGAGGTAATGGAAGATTTATATTCACTAGATTCGACAGTCTAATGATGTATGGGCAGAGCATAGCACAGAGGAGCGGATGCATTTAGATCTCAGATAGTGTATGAGTGTATTGAGCAATGTTATATAGTTCAAACAAATCCCAAAATTAGCAACCCAAATGACATGGCACGCACCATGTCATTTGATGGGTCACTTGAAATATGTGAAAGGGATACTCAAACTCAAAGTAAAGTCCCGTATATATAGCCAAAAATAATACAGAGTGACTTAGACATCTTTGTAGTTTAGGCAAAATATAAAAATCATAGTAAGGGTAAAAAAGAGAAAAGAAATCCTAATAAACCTAGACTATCTATACTCTAACACTCCCCCTCAAGCTAGGCGCAAAAATGTCAACTAAGCCAAGCTTGACAACGGAGTCCCGAAGAATAGACAGAGTGACAGGTTTGGTAAAAACATCCGCAACTTGATCACTGGTCCCCACAAACGATGGAGTAACAAGACCACTGCTGACCTTCTCCCGAAGAAAGTGAACATCGATCTCTATATGCTTCGTTCTCTCATGTAGTACAGAGTCAGAAGCGAGCTGAATAGCAGATTGATTATCACAATATAATGTGGATGGAGAGGTCACTGAAAAACCCAACTCGTCAAGAATCGATCGTAGCCAGATAATCTCACATGTGCCAAGTGCCAATGCCCGATACTCTGCCTCTGCGGACGAGCGGGAGACAACTGCCTGCTTCTTGCTCTTCCAAGAGATAAGATGAGTCCCTCGAAAAGCACAGAAACCCGTAGTAGATCGACCATCACATGCTCCCCCATAATCTGAATCTGAATAACAGGCTAGAGAACCGGTCTGAGATCCTGATGCATAAAACAACCCAAGTCCAGGACAAGACTTGAGGTACCGAAGAATATGATAAACTGCATCAAGATGAGGCTGACATGGCCTATGCATGAACTGACTAACTCGGCTGACTGCGAATGAAATGTCCGGCCTAGTATTGGCTAAGTAGATAAGTCTACCTACCAATCTTTGATAAACTGTCGGATCTTTCAACTCCTCACCTTCAGCAGTAAGCTTCAGGTTTGGAATCATGGGTGATGATGCCGGTTTGCACCCCAACATCCCAGTGTCTGAAAGAAGATCCAAAACATACTTTCTCTGAGAAAGAACAATACCTCTGCTTCTACGGGCAACCTCAATCCCAAGAAAGTATCGCAGAAATCCAAGATCCTTCACATCGAAGGCCTTCCCAAGGTCTATCTTGACCTGCGCAGTCCCAGAAACATCATCACCAGTAATAATAATATCATCAACATATACCAGAAGGATGACACACTGTCCAGAAGTATTCCGTCGAATAAAGCAGGTATGATCAGAATGACACCTGGTGAACCCCAATCGTATGACTACATCACTGAAGCGAGAGAACCAGGCTCGTGGCGACTGTTTCAGTCCATAAAGAGACTTACGCAGTCGACATACCTTTCCAGCATACTCCCCCTCACCACGAAAGCCCGGTGGTGCATCCATATAAATAATCTCGTCCAGATCACCGTGAAGAAACGCATTCTTCACATCTAATTGATGAAGAGGCCAAGAGTACTCCGCAGCCAGAGAAATAATTAACCGAACAGTAGTCAATTTTGCCACGGGGGCAAATGTAGCACCAAAGTCACGACCTGGTACCTGAGTAAAGCCCTTCGCCACAAGTCTAGCCTTGTAACGATCAATAGTACCATCTGCCAGAAACTTCAGGGTGTAAACCCAGCGACAGCCAACAGGCTTCACCCCTGAAGGTAAGGAGACAAGATCCCATGTATGATTACGCTGAAGAGCGTCCATCTCTGTCTGCATGGCAAGAACCCACTGGGGCTCCCGCATAGCTTCCGAAATAGAGCGAGGAACCAGCGTATCTGATAAGGCCATAGTATAAGCTCGAAATGTGGGAGACAGATTACCATAAGAAACATAAGCAGAGATCGGATATAAAATCTTGGCGGTCCAACCATATCGATCAACTGGACGGCGATCACGCCTTGGATAACGACGCCCTAAATCACCATCCTCTACTGATAATATCTTATCAGGTAAAGTAACTGGCTCAGCACCTGTAATCTCATCAGTACTAACAACAGGTGCATCAATATGCTCAACAAACTGAGAAGTATTACCTGCATCGCCTGAGGTAGAGGGGATATCAGCAGGGTGATGAGAGCGAGGACAACGAGCATACACCTGCAAAGGAAGAGAGACTGGTAACTCTGTACTGACAGGGATGAGTGACTCCTTGGGAGGAAAAACGGATGACCCTGTAGGGATAGTGATCAATGACTCTGACTCTTGTGGTAATGGAAAATCAAAGGGAGTATCATCAACTGGAGGGGCAGACAAAGGACTGAAAGGAAAATAAGGAATATGCTCAAGAAAGGTAACATCTAGACTGTGATACATACGACGCCTAATAGGATCATAACATCGATACCCCTTAGATTGATGACAATAGCCCACAAAGATACAACGAATCGCTTTATCATCAAGTTTATGACGAGTAGGAGACCGATCCTGAACAAAACATGTGCATCCAAAAACACGAGGGGGGACCGGAAAAAGTGTCCGCTCAGGAAATAAGACCTGTAAGGGAGCCTTATGCTGAAGAACACGACTCGGCGTACGATTGCACAGAAAGGTAGAAGTCAAAACAGCAAAATGCCAATAAGATTTTGGTACCCTCATGCCTCTAAGCAGACAACGTACCATCCCTATCAAACTCCTATTTTTCCTCTCAGCAACACCATTTTGCTCAGGAGTATATGGACAAGTGAGTTGCTGAAGGATACCCTGAGAAGAAAGGTGAGACACTAAAGCATCAGACACATATTCTTTGGCATTATCCGAACGAAGAGCACGAACAATGACATCGAATTGTGTCTTAATCATCTGTAAAAACTGAGTGATTATAGGGAGCACATCAGACTTCCTATGCAAAAGGTAGACCCAAGTACAACGGGTATGATCATCTATAAATGTCACATAATATCTGGCACCTGACAGAGCAGTAACGGGAGAGGGTCCCCAAATATCAGAGTGTATTAGGTCAAATGGCTTGGGTGACTGGTGCATGCGAGGAATATAATTGGCCCTAACATGTTTTGATAGGGAACAGATAACGCAATCAAGTTTACCACCAACACAAGCATTACTCAAAGCAGGAAACAACATACATAAATATTTAAAATTTGTATGTCCAAAACGGTCATGCCACAATTGAACAGTTTGTGACGAAAAATCATAACGACAACTACTAGGTAAAATACTAGCATGCAAGCTAGGAACAGAAAAAGACAAAGCAGGTGCAGGTGAAGGAATTGGTGAAACTGGAGATGGATTGCCAAGATAATACAGTCCATCTTTCTCATGTCCCTTGATAATAATCCTCCTGGTACTCAGGTCCTGCAAATAACACGAATCAGATAAGAATACAACCGCACAGTGAAAATCTCTGGCTAACTGATGTACAGATAATAGATTCATGGCCAACTTTGGCGCATGAAAAACCGAATGTAATGTAAGGCCATCTGGGAGACGGACTGTACCCCTACTAACAATAGGGGCATGTGTTCCATCTGCTAACTGAACCTGTGTATGTAACGGCTCGTCAAAAGTGGTGAAGTGATGGGCCTCACCTGTCATGTGACCATTCGCACCCGAGTCCAACATCCAAAGGGGAGATGAACTGGCACAAGCGTGAAAGGCACGAGATATACCTGTAGTGGTGACAGCAGCAGTAGTCAGACTCTGAGAAGTCAGAGCAGACATAAGTATATCTAATCGGGAAGTGATAGCATCCATATCACTTTGCCAAGGAGGAGCAGTAGCAGGAGTGGCGGTAGTGGGCGGTGGTACCTCAGCAATAGCAACAGTACGGCTGCGAGAAGGTGGCTTAAGCTCTGGATGGAGCTTCCAGCAAGTAGCCCTGAGATGTCCTGGTCGGCCACAATAATCACATTGACGGGAATCCCCCCGTCTGCGCTGATCTGGGGCGCCCTGACGGCGCTGGTCTGAGCGTTGCCCATCCCTGACTAAGGATCCTGAACGGGACCCTACAGCAGCTGCAAGGGCCATCTGGTCAATCGAAGGAGTCAAAGCTGCAACTGGAAGTGATGCAATACGGACTCGACGCTCATGCTGCTCAATCATCCCATACACCTCATAAAGAGAAGGAAGTGTCAACATCGACAAGATCTGAGAACGAGGTCCCTCAAACTCATCACGAAGCCCCATAAGGAACTTGTGAATCCTATCCTCCTGCTCTCGAGTATGCAAGAATGCTGCTCCCTCGGGCTCTATCTTCGGAATAGCAGCAAGAGGACGTAGAGACTCATACTCAAGCCAGCGCTGGGTCAAATAGCCATAATAATCCTGAACGGTCATATCTCCCTGTCGAGCATATGAGAGCTCCTGAGAAAGCTCATAAACACGAACTCCCCGTCCTGACTGAGAATACATCTCTGATAATGCGCTCCATAGCTTCGGAACAGAGCTATGAAACTGGTGGATCCTGCAAACAGAGGGCTCCATTGAGCCAAATAACCATCCAAGAATGGCACAGTTTTCAGAGAACCACGCAGAATATCCAGGGTCGGCATCAGCTGGCTTTGGGTGAGATCCCGTCAGCCAACCAAGCTTCCCTACACGGCCTAAGAAAAGCTGGAATGAGCGTGACCACTCAGCGAAGTTACGACCATTCAACAATTGTGCCGTAACTTTTTGAGAGATCATGCCCGGTAATGCTGGTAATGCAACTGTGCTAGTAGGCACTGTATACTGGTCAAACATAAAAGTGGAAGTACCCATAGATGTCTCAACGGTAGAGGTGTCAACAGTAGGGTTCTCAAGTCCCTCAGTAGTAGCCATATCAACAACAATACTAGGGCACCCGTGACAGAAAAATAACTCTAAGATAAATAGAGGAATAAAATAAGGGAGAACAATATACCTTCAGTCGAACAGTAGCGACAAATAGGGAAGGTCCAAAAAGCTCCCAAATAATCAAGTCACGGTGCCCAGAAATCCAAAATATATAAATAAGTGATCTACTGCATCAAGGGCAGATCAACAGAAAAGAGGATCCGCTCCCTCCCAAAAAAGTCCTAGAATAAAATCACAACGAAAGTTGTGACCCAGCAGTGGGCTGGACAATGATCTAGCAGTAGGAGTGGTTTTATTGGGTTTATTGGGTTGGATCTATTATTATTATTATATGGAGAATGGGTAAAGGGCGCGGGACAGGATATATATGGCCAGTCGGTTGGACAGTGGGCTGGTTTAGCATATGGTTATGGGCTGGTTTGGCATATGGTTATGGACTGGTTGAACTGGTATGGATTGAGGTTGCTGCCTTTGTCGTGGATTAAGGTTGTGGTGGACTGGTATGGACTGGTTTGTCTGGGATGCGGCTAGGGGCTGGTATGGACTGGTATAAGGATAGGCAGTCAGTGTATGGACTGGTATGAGGATGGGCAGTCGGTGGAAGACTGTTTGTTGCCTGGGCCGTCGGTGTATGGATTTTGGGGCTGTCGGTGTGGCCTGGTATGGGCAGTAGGTGGACTGGTTTTGTCGCTGGTTTGGTCGGTTTCGCTGGGCAGCTGATGGCCAGGGTGGTTTCGGCGGTATGGCTGGTAGAGCCATACACTAACCCTACCCCAAACCCTAACCTTGCTCTGATACCAACTTGAAATAATTGTGAGTAAAAGGAGATACTCAAATTAAGAGTAAAACCCCGTATATATAGGCAAAATATAAAAATCATAGTAAGGGTAAAAAAGGGAAAAGAAATCCTAATAAACCTAGACTATCTATACTCCAACACTTCCCCTCAAGCTAGGCGCAAAAATGTCAACTAAGCCAAGCTTGACAACGGAGTCCCGAAGAATAGACAGAGTGACAGGTTTGGTAAAAACATCCGCAACTTGATCACTGGTCCCCACAAACGATGGAGTAACAAGACCACTGCTGACCTTCTCCCGAAGAAAGTGAACATCGATCTCTATATGCTTCGTTCTCTCATGTAGTACAGAGTCAGAAGCGAGCTGAATAGCAGATTGATTATCACAATATAATGTGGATGGAGAGGTCACTGAAAAACCCAACTCGTCAAGAATCGATCGTAGCCAGATAATCTCACATGTGCCAAGTGCCAATGCCCGATACTCTGCCTCTGCGGACGAGCGGGAGACAACTGCCTGCTTCTTGCTCTTCCAAGAGATAAGATGAGTCCCTCGAAAAGCACAGAAACCCGTAGTAGATCGACCATCACATGCTCCCCCATAATCTGAATCTGAATAACAGGCTAGAGAACCGGTCTGAGATCCTGATGCATAAAACAACCCAAGTCCAGGACAAGACTTGAGGTACCGAAGAATATGATAAACTGCATCAAGATGAGGCTGACATGGCCTATGCATGAACTGACTAACTCGGCTGACTGCGAATGAAATGTCCGGCCTAGTATTGGCTAAGTAGATAAGTCTACCTACCAATCTTTGATAAACTGTCGGATCTTTCAACTCCTCACCTTCAGCAGTAAGCTTCAGGTTTGGAATCATAGGTGATGATGCCGGTTTGCACCCCAACATCCCAGTGTCTGAAAGAAGATCCAAAACATACTTTCTCTGAGAAAGAACAATACCTCTGCTTCTACGGGCAACCTCAATCCCAAGAAAGTATCGCAGAAATCCAAGATCCTTCACATCGAAGGCCTTCCCAAGGTCTATCTTGACCTGCGCAGTCCCAGAAACATCATCACCAGTAATAATAATATCATCAACATATACCAGAAGGATGACACACTGTCCAGAAGTATTCCGTCGAATAAAGCAGGTATGATCAGAATGACACCTGGTGAACCCCAATCGTATGACTACATCACTGAAGCGAGAGAACCAGGCTCGTGGCGACTGTTTCAGTCCATAAAGAGACTTACGCAGTCGACATACCTTTCCAGCATACTCCCCCTCACCACGAAAGCCCGGTGGTGCATCCATATAAATAATCTCGTCCAGATCACCGTGAAGAAACGCATTCTTCACATCTAATTGATGAAGAGGCCAAGAGTACTCCGCAGCCAGAGAAATAATTAACCGAACAGTAGTCAATTTTGCCACGGGGGCAAATGTAGCACCAAAATCACGACCTGGTACCTGAGTAAAGCCCTTCGCCACAAGTCTAGCCTTGTAACGATCAATAGTACCATCCGCAAGAAACTTCAGGGTGTAAACCCAGCGACAGCCAACAGGCTTCACCCCTGAAGGTAAGGAGACAAGATCCCATGTATGATTACGCTGAAGAGCGTCCATCTCTGTCTGCATGGCAAGAACCCACTGGGGCTCCCGCATAGCTTCCGAAATAGAGCGAGGAACCAGCGTATCTGATAAGGCCATAGTATAAGCTCGAAATGTGGGAGACAGATTACCATAAGAAACATAAGCAGAGATCGGATATAAAATCTTGGCGGTCCAACCATATCGATCAACTGGACGGCGATCACGCCTTGGATAACGACGCCCTAAATCACCATCCTCTACTGATAATATCTTATCAGGTAAAGTAACTGGCTCAGCACCTGTAATCTCATCAGTACTAACAACAGGTGCATCAATATGCTCAACAAACTGAGAAGTATTACCTGCATCGCCTGAGGTAGAGGGGATATCAGCAGGGTGATGAGAGCGAGGACAACGAGCATACACCTGCAAAGGAAGAGAGACTGGTAACTCTGTACTGACAGGGATGAGTGACTCCTTTGGAGGAAAAACGGATGACCCTGTAGGGATAGTGATCAATGACTCTGACTCTTGTGGTAATGGAAAATCAAAGGGAGTATCATCAACTGGAGGGGCAGACAAAGGACTGAAAGGAAAATAAGGAATATGCTCAAGAAAGGTAACATCTAGACTGTGATACATACGACGCCTAATAGGATCATAACATCGATACCCCTTAGATTGATGACAATAGCCCACAAAGATACAACGAATCGCTTTATCATCAAGTTTATGACGAGTAGGAGACCGATCCTGAACAAAACATGTGCATCCAAAAACACGAGGGGGGACCGGAAAAAGTGTCCGCTCAGGAAATAAGACCTGTAAGGGAGCCTTATGCTGAAGAACACGACTCGGCGTACGATTGCACAGAAAGGTAGAAGTCAAAACAGCAAAATGCCAATAAGATTTTGGTACCCTCATGCCTCTAAGCAGACAACGTACCATCCCTATCAAACTCCTATTTTTCCTCTCAGCAACACCATTTTGCTCAGGAGTATATGGACAAGTGAGTTGCTGAAGGATACCCTGAGAAGAAAGGTGAGACACTAAAGCATCAGACACATATTCTTTGGCATTATCCGAACGAAGAGCACGAACAATGACATCGAATTGTGTCTTAATCATCTGTAAAAACTGAGTGATTATAGGGAGCACATCAGACTTCCTATGCAAAAGGTAGACCCAAGTACAACGGGTATGATCATCTATAAATGTCACATAATATCTGGCACCTGACAGAGCAGTAACGGGAGAGGGTCCCCAAATATCAGAGTGTATTAGGTCAAATGGCTTGGGTGACTGGTGCATGCGAGGAATATAATTGGCCCTAACATGTTTTGATAGGGAACAGATAACGCAATCAAGTTTACCACCAACACAAGCATTACTCAAAGCAGGAAACAACATACATAAATATTTAAAATTTGTATGTCCAAAACGGTCATGCCACAATTGAACAGTTTGTGACGAAAAATCATAACGACAACTACTAGGTAAAATACTAGCATGCAAGCTAGGAACAGAAAAAGACAAAGCAGGTGCAGGTGAAGGAATTGGTGAAACTGGAGATGGATTGCCAAGATAATACAGTCCATCTTTCTCATGTCCCTTGATAATAATCCTCCTGGTACTCAGGTCCTGCAAATAACACGAATCAGATAAGAATACAACCGCACAGTGAAAATCTCTGGCTAACTGATGTACAGATAATAGATTCATGGCCAACTTTGGCGCATGAAAAACCGAATGTAATGTAAGGCCATCTGGGAGACGGACTGTACCCCTACTAACAATAGGGGCATGTGTTCCATCTGCTAACTGAACCTGTGTATGTAACGGCTCGTCAAAAGTGGTGAAGTGATGGGCCTCACCTGTCATGTGACCATTCGCACCCGAGTCCAACATCCAAAGGGGAGATGAACTGGCACAAGCGTGAAAGGCACGAGATATACCTGTAGTGGTGACAGCAGCAGTAGTCAGACTCTGAGAAGTCAGAGCAGACATAAGTATATCTAATCGGGAAGTGATAGCATCCATATCACTTTGCCAAGGAGGAGCAGTAGCAGGAGTGGCGGTAGTGGGCGGTGGTACCTCAGCAATAGCAACAGTACGGCTGCGAGAAGGTGGCTTAAGCTCTGGATGGAGCTTCCAGCAAGTAGCCCTGAGATGTCCTGGTCGGCCACAATAATCACATTGACGGGAATCCCTCCGTCTGCGTTGATCTGGGGCGCCCTGACGG